CTGCATTCATGTAGTCTCATTTTAGAGATTATCAGAAGACTGGAAAGCTTGTATTAAATTAACATACATTTGAGCAGCTCCAGCTGTGGGTATTTAAGGTGGAACTGGCTTTCCAACCTGAAAAAAACACAGATCTATGTCTAATTTTCTGACACTGATTCCCTTGGAGTTTGTAAAGTGGTCAGCTTCAGGGGAGTCAGGGGAGACTGCGTGGATGAAGTTTGTAAAATTATGCCATTACACAAGCACCAAAATGGTCGAGATAAGTGCAGAACTGCCTTCCTTCATGAGTGTCTCCTCTGCCACTAAAGATGATGGACAAGACAAGAAAAAGACAAAGAGAGGGAAGGGATAATAAGAATTAAAAAAGAGAAGATGGGGATAAATGTAAAGCACAACATAGCCTGTAGAAAAACTAACACAATGACACTGTGACTTGCTTATAATATTTTGAAATGCAGTGAGTTAATGGGTGACAGGCTCTGGTACTGGACGAGAAGAAAAAGGAGGCTTGAACAGACTTGAGTTTTCCATGATCAATTGAATCTAAAAGACAGTGTGCTTATGGGAAGACCATAAAAGGTGTTTGTTTGTCTGTGCATTTTGGATACCTGTTTTGCCTGCCTGGCTCTGCAGACACAAAGCTGCATATTTCAATATGTAAGTGAAGTCTTCTCTGTGTCATGTTATTTTTTTTTAAAGAGAGATTGAATAGTGCACATGTCAAGAACTGAGAATCCTCTGCATTTTCTTTTGAGCCTTTGTGTACATGATGAGCTAGAATAACCTCCCTGAACTGAATTATCCTTCCATAGTATGGTTCAGTGAATATCATTATATTTCAGCACAGCTTGAGTGATTTTTAATGCCAAAAACATCGGCAAGAAATACAAATGTTACAAAAATATTGAAACAATACCATAAAAAAATTCTGGGATCGTAAATACTTTACTTTGCAAGGTCTGGAAGGTCAACATAGCTATAGTGTGGAAAATTAAAATGCTCTCTGTGTGAATGCCTTTAGAAAAAAATAAAAAGGCAGCGTTTTACCCTAGAAATTCAGAATTCCTATCTGAAGCTGGTTAAAAATAAATGCTATTTTCCTGGTAGCTGAATCTGATGAAATTAATTCATCCATGATTTTGTGTTTGTTAGCTGCATCTTCCTAAATAGAATATAATTAGAGCAGCATTAGAGAAGGTAGAAAATCAGTGACAGCTTTCATGTAAGCGATGCAGTGCAGCAGGTAACACACATCAGCCTAAGGTTTTGACAGAATGAAATCAAATGTGCACAGGCCACAACTGATGTTTGTGACAAGCTTTGAATTTGGAAGCCATTCCCTTTGCAACCAGGTGTTCTGTCAGTGCACAGCCAGCCTGTCACAATGCACAGGAACACAGGGAGGGGGAGAGGAAAAGCAAAGTTGTGCTGCACGTTGCAGATTGCTGTGGTGGAGGTGAACAATTAATATTTTCCGTGGTCCTTCTTTGTTCTCAGTTACTACTTGGCAACTGGAAACTTGTCTTTGCCCACTGATCTTGGATTGTTGTTCTCTCCCTTGGAGGTCTTGCTTGGTTTCAGTGTTCCCCACAGCTATTCCCATCCCTAAGTGGCTTGGGCTCCTTAAAGAATCACTGTCACAGGTAGTGGCAAAAAGCAGGTATCAGTATAAATTTGTGAAAGTGTGACTTAGCAGAGTTCAGTGGCAAGACTCACTCTAGTACTTAGTACATAGATGAATCATACATAGGAAAATTGGGTTATAATCAATTTAGAATGATTTGCATGGAGGGTGGGGAAGCAAAAGGTAAGGTGCAAAGGATATGGACACAAAAGGTAAGGGTGCAGAAGGATTTAGCAGTACTTAATTATTAACTACTTTAACATTTAAAAAGTGATTCAATAGGATTTGCTATAACTGTGACTTCAATGTAGATTCATGAGAGCAACATTAATACCATCATCAGTTCACACAAAAACACACAGAGAGATGTGTACATCTATACCTGTGTGTGTAAAAGTGCCTCTCAGAAATGCCCTTTGGCTTCAGTGAAATACTCCTGGCAATTCCCTTAGTGCTTCTCAGCAGGCACGGACTGCACCTCGAGGAGTGTGTGTGGGTATCAACTTGGGCTACAATCCATTTCTTCAAAAGGCCTTGTAACTGTGGTTACCATTTCACCTGGGCTATGATTCAGGTAAAATAATCACCAAAGTTAACAATATTTTCAGTATTTTCCAGATCCAGGCAATATATTGTGTTCTGTTTTCCAAGAACATCATCTTGCAATGTCTTAAAAACTTCCCTCCTGGGTGTTTTCTGCCTAGGCATCCAGAGGGAGAGCTATAAGAAGGATTCAGGAACAAGTCTCTCAACATTATATGTTGAGAGCAATATATATATTATATCTTGGAGCAGCGGTTAAGTATTATATTTCAGGAAATAGGAATCTTTATTTACAGATTGATTTTTAACTTAGCTTTTATTCTAAATGGAATCAAAGGCTGCCTTCATTCAGCCTCTGGCTCTGTTCTTCACATACAAACTCTGATGTCCCTGCAGTAGAATTCCAGCAGTTTTATGCAGGAATACTCACAGTGATGTGGGTGACAAGGCAGGGTTTGATCTGCCCTGAGGCCAGAGGAGATGAGAAGATGCAACCATAGTCTTGTTCTCCATGCTGGCCTGTATAAAAGCTGACAGCAGGATGTTGGAACAGGAATAGTGGTGGCACCAGTACTGAGGAAAGTGCTGTGCTGTTGTAGTAGAGGCACATCCATGGGATACCATAATAAGAAGCCTTGATAATGTTTGTCCATCATTCTTCACCCTGATAAACACCATTGGCTTTTTTTTTTTTTCTCCTCAATCCTACATTATAGAAACAAACAGAAAAACCCCACAGTTTCATGTAAAAATTACCATTAATTATAATTCCTAAATTTGACTGAAGCCTGAACCTTCTATAAAGCTATCCTACCTTGTACACAAGCACATATGATTTAAAAATAGTGTGTAGGGGTAGAACCACTTGCTAAAAAGTTTTTTCCCTCCCTTTGTATTCCCTGGAAAATGTAAGGCAATTTCTTCACAAATAGAAAATACATTAAAAGGAATTCAAAAAGAAAGAAGTCTTTATTGCCTCAGAATTATCCTGATTTTTTTTTTTTTCCTTAACCTCCCCATAGTGGTACATTTTACAAACATTGAAAAGCCTTCCTGGCCTTTTAAACTAAGAACTGCAGGCAAACAGCTGATGCTGTAAAATGAATCAGAGCTGAACTTCTTCCGTGGCTGCTTCTATTCTGGGTAATTATGCCATCAGCAGGAATAACATTTACTCCCACCGAAAGCGGAAAAAACCAGAGATGCTGTCTTGGTCTATAAGCTGGTGGAAGCTGCATGTGCTGCAGAAGGCACCAGACTCCTCACAGGTAACCCTGTGCCCTGTGACAGGACAGAGAGGCACGTTAGAGCAAGTCAGCTGGCTCATAAATTATTGCAATTTATGAAGTTGTTCTGCCAGGAGAACTTAAGTACAGAACTTAAGTTTTTCCTCTGTTCTGCTCAGATAAAAATTATATCTCTGATTTGCAAAATAGAGCTGTTGGCCATTCCTAAGAATGCCATGACACCTGTTCAGGTTGCAATAACTGCCTTTCAACAGAACTCACTTTCTCTCCTCTTGGGCTCATATTAGAGAATTTGTTGCTTACCAACTGTATGGTGAAATTACTACACCAGCTGGTACATGTTTCTTTGTACCATATCAAATTAAGTTTCTTTGTACCATATCAAATTAATTATCAGTTTTTTAGATCTTGGAAGGACATAAGTAATTACTTTGCATGTCAACCTTGTGAAACCTGATAAGTTTCATTAGGGAAATCCTGCATTTTTTTCCAAATCCTATATGAAGCATTATGCGTAATTATTTTAAAATGCCACGATGCTTATGCAAATAAAAGCTCTACATGGACAACAGTGATTTTCTTTTTCTTGGCTTAAGACACAACACACAGAGGGGCTGAAAGCCATTGACTGCTGGTCATTACTAATTTAATAAGCAGCCCTCACAGTTCTTGCAGATACAAAGGAATCTGGCTTTACATGTGTAATATGCAGTGTGGAGAAAATACTCAGTGCTGTTCTCTTTGAAACTTAGAGGACAGCTATTAAAGTTTTATGGTTCAAATTAAAATTTAAGATTAAAATACAAGATCAAAAGAATCAATTTTTCTTCTCAATGCTATTAGGAATAAGCCTTTTGGAACAGAGGGGCTCAATGGCTTAAATGCCATGTCCTCCTCCTCCTCCAGAGAACCAGATTAGAACTAATCACAGCTTACTATAGGAACGTAACTTTCTGTATTTTTTTTTTTTTTCAAGAGAAGAACAAGCTTTTATTACTTTTTAATGTATTATGCTATTGTAGAGTCATGAAGTAGTAAGTACTGCTTGGAAACCAGGGTGACAGTTCTTGAAGAAGGAGTTTGTTTCATGAGCAGAAGGGAAATCTGCAGTTGTGATACAGTTCAAACGAGTTGGAGGATGCCAGAGGATTTGCTTCTTTGTCAAATCAAAGGGGAGCAAGGGGAGGCTCATGCAGTAGCTCGGTCTGATTAATAACTACCAGAGTGCCCATTTTTCTAAGGTTTCATGCCATTAATATGTCTCCCAGTGTCAAATCTGGTTGCCATTTCTCTTGTAAGACACTTTAATAATAAACTGTAAAATCAATGGCACACAGAAGCAACCTTATAAGGAGAAAGTGCCCTGCTATATCTTAACTTGAAACTCAAAGTCACAAATCTCCTTTCTGGCTTATGTATTACTTTGCTGAAACTTTACTCTGTAGCTCAGTTGTAAGAACCTGTTTTTGTTGTTCCTGAAGAGCTATTTGTCACTGGGAGGCACAGTGAAGTCATAACCAGTTCTGTGACATAGATCACAAAATAGGTGGCAGAGTGTTGCTTAATTTCATCATGGAACTACCACAGAACTTGTCACGATCGCTGGAAGTGCTGCTGCTGACTTCAGTAGAATTTGGGTAAGTCCTCATAGGCACAGCTCTCGTGGGAGCCTCTTGGAACAGTACAAGGTCTGACAGTGAGCATGGTGTTGGTTACAGGAACTTCAACAGCTGTGCCCTGTGCTGGGGAACAGACTCAAGCCAGAATGTGCTCAGGGGTTCTCTCAACCTTTAATAAGTAAATAAAACATAAATATATGCAAAATTTACCTTATTCCTGGAAGTTCACAAACACTAACTCATTAGTCAAGCAACACCTCACCAAGCTCTGCCATCTGGCAAATAGTTATTTACCCATTTCAATAAATGGATGAAATCTGTTAGTTTCATTTTTATGCAAAATGTGCATGTACCTCTTGTTTTCTCCCACGACTTTAGGCTGAACCATGACAGCTACAGTTCTAGGATATTTTTTAAAACTGCAGAAATTATGGCATTGATATCATGTAAAGGAAAACAGTTTTAACAGTACTGAGCAAGCAGAATTAAGTCTTTGTCTTGCATTTATAAATATTCAAATCCTAAAGCAATAGAAAATTATTTAAGCTCCTGTTCTTTCATTGAGGAGCTTAAGATGACTGGATGACCAGCATGAAATGCATCGTAGCATTAATTGAACAAATATAGAACTGGATTACTCTGAATCTGTAGAGAACTGCAGAATAAAGGACATTATCAAGGATTCAGTGGCAAATTCCCCTTACTGACAAGCATTTGTTATAACAGTGAAAGGAAAGCCCTGCATGAAAACCATAAGCTGCAAAATTCATTAAGAAAGATCCTTTCAAAATGAGGCCTGGGAGACCCTCTCTTATTGTGGAAGCCAAAGCATAGCCATCTGTGGTTACCAGTTTTTCAGACTTATGTATCATTGAAGCTAAATTGATGAAGAGCCTGACTATGCTAAAGTGGAGAGAGAGAGAGAGAAAAGGGTTTTTGTACAAGGAAAGGAAAAATGGACTGAGATCAATGAAAGAAGAGGAGATAAGAGAATAAATAGGAAAGAAAAAATATTGTTACCTCTATAGATGGGGAAAGGAAGGATTGACTAGAAGAAAAAGATCAATTTCTGAGGATAAGATCAATATATTTACACCTCCTATCTCATATAGGTTCTCTTTTTGTGTTTACAAGAGTAGGGATTGTCATTCCTTTCTATAGGAGGACAAATATCCAACATGTAGAAAATAAGGTGCCTCCTACCAGAACAGGCAGACAAGTGTAGCAGCTGTGACAGAAGGATTTCTCTCTATCATTGATCATGTGGTTCAAGTGCCATATGTAAAATAAACTCCAATGTCTGGTTTGCCATCCTTTCCCATGCAAGGAAATGCAGAGGAGCAGCAAACTTGATTGTTTTTCTAGGTGAAACTAATGACCACAGATTTAATCACAGGCAAGTAGGTGATAACAGAATCTGCTGTCCATTTGGCCTTTAGTCCCTTATAGCTGATGGGAACTATTTAGAATTCAGGTAAGCTCTGGTGAACTTCACCTCCTGAATTAACATATTGGTTAGTTTATAACCTAAATGTCAGCAGTTTTTTGTCAGATCATTGCTACATGACTTACATCACTAAAGGGATATTTTGGAATGATGACCCAACACTGGGTGCTGCCTCTCTGAGTTCGATGGAACTGTAATCACCTGCTTCAGTAGAGGGAAAATAGCATTTACATTTCTTTTCAATATGCCTTTTTCCAATATACTTTCCTTTGGCCTGGTAATAAGAGATGTCAAAATTCGACTGGGTAGGCTTTGGTTGCATGGTTTCTTTGATGAGAGTTAGATAATCCAACTGGAGGAGCCCAGAACCATTCTAAAGGGATGGGATGGGGTTGTCAGTTCCCAGACAGTCTCAGTAGCTCTTACTGAAGCTGTAGTGGAAGATGTTTTGCTTTATTATAATGTAGGACTTAATGTGTCTAATGAGGGCTGAAATTTCACCGCAGTACAGCTCTGGATATGGGAAAGAAAAGTGTCTATTTTTCCTTCCAGGGAAAACTTCCATTAAAATGATGGTTGGTCTATGAAAGACTATTTTACAGAGTACTTAAAGAACTGTTATATTCATTGTTAGCCTGAATGAATTTTGTTTACCCATTAAGTATTTGGATATAAATTTGAGTACTGTTCCTCTAGTTCCTGCAGCATGAGACCTTAGCCAGGAGGACCTTGACAGCTGCAGCACAGTGAGTCTAAAGGGTGGACTAGAAAATGAAGTGTGGTAGATGATTTCTGTGGCAGGATGAAGTGGATTTTGGAACTCAGAGAGAGAAGGGTAGAGGGCAGTATTTGGATTTTCTGCCTTTGTTTAATAGAATATGAGAGAAAGGAAAATAGGAATGACTGGGTAGTAACAAGGAGCATCTTCCTCGTTCAGGAGCTGATACAGGTGAGATGAAATGTGCCAGTGAGACATTTGTGGCTTTATTGGGGAATACCATGAACCATGGCAAGCACCATATAAAATCAATATGCAGGTGGACTAAAGAACAACCTCTCTGTAAGCTGAACAGTCTGAGAACTGAATAGTCATTAACACAGTCAGACTTCATAATACTCTTGGAATTGCTAACTTTATTTTAGTGGAAAATTAACCTACTTGATGTGGATGCAGTGGCTCATTCTTTTGATTTACACCTAACTATTCCCACAATAATAAAACATTAATACTCTGAAACTTTCATTTGGAAAATATTCAGTGTAATAAACTATGCATTAAGGTATCTGCTTGCTTTTTTATTCTCTAGTTCTTTGGAGTTTTCATTTCACTTATGCCAGTTTTTCATTTTGTTTTTGAAATTAACTCTCCAGCAATCCATTTCTCTTATATTCTTTCTTTCTAAGGCAACAAAATCTTAAATTGCTGACAAAGTATATCCAGTGAAGTAGCCAGTAGTTAATATATTTAAACCCCAAATCCCTAGAAAAGCTTTTACTGAGAAGGAGAAGACCTTAAATGTGGTTTGTTTTTTGAGGTTTTGCATTGGGGTTTTTGTTGTCATGGGGTTTTTTGGGATTCGTACAATATGCCTTTACTTTTACTGAATGCACTATTGAAAGGTACAAAGATAATTTAAAACAAGCTTTTACAGATGTTCACTAGAACTTTTGTAACAGTTGAATGACAATTCAACATCTTATGTTGATAAGGTTTTCAACTAGAACTGAAAGTTCTCATTTTCTGTTCATACATCAAGAAGACTTCTTTCACAATGTAAAATATATCCATGCAGAGACTTTGTAGGTAGAAAAATGACCAGAAGATCAATAATTGTTATGTGGGCTGGACTCAGCTGAAGTCCAAGAAAAGACAGAGGAGGGAAAATGTGAGTGAAAGGAATAAATTAACGGATGGTTGTGGCAAAGGGAGTGTTAAGCCAAGGTAGCACTGGCAGGAGCAGCCCATCCAAGAATAACTGTGCACGTGGCATGGCCACAATTCCCTATATCACCTTTGAACAGCTTGTTAGATGTGTTAGACCCGTAAAAGCATGATCTGCCTGAGCTGCTGCCCCAAAGGTATCTCGTTTAGGATGCCACAGTGGTGTGGCTGAGCTGTTCCTGCTGTTCCTGGCAGGCTCCTTGGGTCTGGCTGAGGTGCACTGCAAAGTATGTAAGTCATGAAAAAGGGTCTTGGTGAAAAAAAAGAACAAATCAAACAACTTCCAAGATGAGTGTTTAAATACCCATGAAATTCACCAATAGTCAACAAAATTTCTCTCCCTTATTCCATGGCATCAGTGCTGTTGGAAAATTACAGATGAAAAAAAATTATCTGAGAGTTGCATTTATTCTCAGAGATTCTTCAAATTGTTATTGGAGATTTGTGAATAATGAGGTTTATCAACTATTTTTACTATTCCATGTACATAGTTCTTTATTAGAAAACATAGGCTTCTGAAATTAAAAAAAAAAGTTTGAGTTGATTTTTAAGACCACTGAGCTACTACGGAAAACTTCAGCTCCAGAATCAGTGGTGTCCAAATCAATATTTTAATGGGTACTCATATTCCTGCTCACTGTTTGGAGATAGAGGGTCCCCAGCTTAGAGAAATCAGTCCAGATGCTTCTGCTCAGTTTGGTGGGATTCAGATTAGATCCACTGCAAAGCTGGTCGGGGGGCTGAAGCAGCAGTGAACCCTTCCCCAGGGGGGAAGTGTTGCCATACAGAATGTGCAGAACTCACCACAGAGCAGGGGCACAGTCCATGTCTGTGAGAGAATCTCTACGGAGAGCTAAAAAGAACATTAGGTTTTACATTTTCAACCAAGGAAGTTACTTGGAGTGCATTTGATTAAACAGAATATTTCATTTACTGTTTTAATAATAAATCATACACACTGAATAAATGTAATATTTGTAATACCATTAAAATGTAATTTCTTTTGTACTGTGAGTGAATTACATGATAGGTGTAACATACTTTTTCTTTGTTCTTGGTAGAGTTTTAGCATGTAATTATTTTCCAATTATCTGTTTCTTGAGCATTTTAATCCTTTTTGGAGGAGTTTCATTTCAGTGGGAGCAAGGGCTTTAAATGCCACCAAAGGTGTGGGCTTAGTCCTAAAATTCTTACCAGTCATTGTTTTTCAGTGGTAAATAACTCCAAAATGTATGGCCCCTAAATACATCAACTGGTTGTTTTCAGTTGTTGTAAATTCAAGATGATACAATACAGCCTCCTGTTAATTTTCTTTTCATCAAACCACTGGTGCCAGTTTATGTCTGCTGAGGCCGTGACCTCATGATCCTACTCTGGATTGTGTTCTGATTTTTAGGAATGGTCAAGGTGTTATGTATTTCAAAAAGACTTAAACCTTGTATTGTACTTGGCAGTACAACACTGTTTTCCTGCTGGAGGTAGGATGATAATTTGAAATGAGTTGATGCTATTTCCTCACAACTCAGAATTTGGTAGCAATGAGGTTGCTGATAAAGCTGATTAATTAATATATTACTTTGTAAGCTTTATTTGTTTAATTCTGGGATGAGAGAAGAAGGAGCTGCCTCCCACATAATAGCCATCTTTTACATACCTCTCTATTTTAATTTTATTTCTAATACTCTTTATGTTTGTAAAGCTTATGTCCTCCTTTTTATATCCTGATGCTTGTAGTCTGTTTGAGAAGATATAGAAAAGTACCAGCTACATATTTTTGTGTTTTTCAATATGTTTATCACACATGACCATGAAATTAGCAGATTACATTTTTTTATTAAAGTAAAATAGGCTCTTGCAAATTCTTTGTAAAAGTGAAACAGAATTTTATGCAGCTGTGATTTGTAACGTTATGAAAATTATACATTTATAAACTAATAGAAGTCATGTATTCACAGTAGGAATGGTAAGTTACAGAACAAGGACAGTTGCAGAGAAAAGAACTATATGGAAATAGTGATAGTATTTGTAAACATATCAAAGCAACTTAGGAAAGAATGAAGCTTCTTCATCTCTAGATAAACTTTAAAACTGTCATGCTTTTTGACTTTTTTAGCACTTATTGTCTTGTTCAGATCTGTAATTGTAAAATCTCTGTGTTTGCTTTATTGTTATGGTCATTTATGTTTTCATTCTAATACAAGAAAAAAGATCTGTCTAGAAGCAAGTCACTGTTTTCCAATAAGTACTTAACAAGCAGTTAAATATTATTTTATAAATTTTTCAGTGGATATTAAAGTGCAATTATTAACCAAAATAAGGAAAGAGTAGCTACTTCTTTCTTTATTTGTTGTTTCTTTAGAAACACTGTGGAGAATATTTCCCCAGTGTTCAAGGGCAGTCATTACTAGAATAAACAGGGATCCTTTATTCTGTCAAATGACAAATGGAAACATTTTATGGAATTGACACTGTCACCACAACAACGTTGCTTAAATAATTAGTTGTCCTTACTCAGATATGGGATCATTGACTTGGTGGATATCAAACTGACAAGTCATCCTGTTAAATTTCAGTTTGTTAGTTCCTATTAACAATTACTTTTATCATTCTCTCACAGTATTTTGATATATGCATTTGGTGTTTCTGATATCAGTTAAGCAATTGGAATTTTTTTTCATTATTTCTGATTTCTTTGTGCTTTAATTCACATATTTAAGTTTACCTCAGTACTTACCACGTATTTATAAACACCACTGTTCCTGATTTTTATTTTTTTCAGAGGATCTCATTGCATTCCACAGGCAACAAAAAGCAGACTCTGTTGAAAAGCTGTTACTTATTTGTTTCTCAGAACACACCGAGTGCAGACAGTTTAAACCCCGGAGAGATGTTGAGCCAAGCGGGTTTTTGGAGACTGTGTGACCTGATGTGTGTTCAGACCCAGCGAAGGCTTCTTGTTAGAGGCTGGTGTCTTCCTCAGAAAGCAAAGGTACGATGGCCTGGGGGTGGGGGAAGGTCATATAGATCATGTTTTATGCATCCAGAGACCTTAAAGCACCTTTAGATTTGTCTGAGGTATTTGTGTATAGAGGGATCAACTTTGCTGGTCTTAGGCCTGAAAGAGGATGAAGCTAAAGAGGATGCAGAAGCAAATGACTTCCCATTCAATGTTATTTTTTTTTTTTAAATTGAGTTAATATCTAAAAATAAAAAATAGAAAAGTAGCTTCTCCTTGCTGTTCTACCTATTGTGTCTTCACAAACGTGGGTGATGAGCTGTGAGGACAAATTTCCCCGAAAAGCTGCTGTTCTTTTGTACATTCAGTTTACTTCTTTTGCATTTGTCTCTGTGATCCTCTGCCAGTCATTCAGTCCTGGGAACAAATCTGGCTGCTCAGACTAACCATTTTTCTGGATGTTCCTGGTATTCAGCTGCCAGTCAGATGCATGCAGATGCAAATTGGTTAGATCCACAAGTACTTTGATTTGCCTCTAGACCCATCTCTAGCCTGTGAAGTCTCAGGAAGGATTTTTGTAGGTGGAATTTTGGCTTTCTTAAAAGGACCCTGAACCTTCAAAACACCTCCACTTAATGGTTGGTTGGGTCAGTTTGTTTATGCTTGCTTTGTAGATGATGAAAATCCTACAAGCCTAAAGCTCAGCCTGAAAAAATATTGCTGAGGCTAAAAATACTTGAATATAATGTAACAGATAAAGCTCTGAACAAACAGATTTTATTTGACAGTCTTGAAATTTTTTTCAATGACCTCACAAAAGCATTAAATGGGAATGGCCAGGGGAACAGGCACTGAATCAATAGGCACCAGTAAGTTTGTGAAATCGATTTTTTGCTTTTCACATACACAAGAATTGATGCAGTCAATGCTGTGTAACTCCCATTAATTGCCCAGGGTGACAGAGGATTTATCAATTGCTTATTGACTTCTTTGATGCCATGGGGGGGAAATGGAAATAGCTGCAAAGTTAACTGTGTAATACAGAAGATACCCTTCCCCAGCTGAGGTATTAATATGAGCAGAGTAGATTCTCCAGAGCTTCACGGTTTTTCTGCACAATACATTTGCTATCAACGTTTCTGCAACCAAAAGCAGAAAAAATATTACTGCAGTCACAAGATTGCTAAAATGTATGTAGATAATATATATTCTATGTGTAAAATAGAACTAGCATGGTGAATGTTACAAAAGTATATCATAGAGGGTGGTGAGGCCCTGGCACAGGTTGCCCAGAGAGGCTGTGGATGCCCCATCAAGGCCAGGTTGGACAGGGCTTGGAGCAACCTGGGATAGTGGAAGGTGTCCCTGCCCACAACAGAGAGGTTGGAATGAGATGGTATTTATTGTCCCTTCCAACCCAAACCATTCTGTGATTCTATGATATGTTACTCTCTAGTAGTCACTCAGTTTTTACACTCAGTTTTTATGCAAAAATTCCTGTTCAGTGTAGTAGGATGACTGTGAAGAAGTTACTCTTCCCCCCAACTAAAGGCATCTTCTCATCACTGTGAGCATTTTTACAGTGGCCACAGGCTCCAGTTTCTCTGTTATAAATAGCATATTTCACATTTAACAGCTACAAAATCAGCTACTGCTTCCTATGTACCTTACTCAGTCTTCTTACTTCCCCTGGGTATGAGGTGTGGGAGAGCTCATTAAATTTCTGAGTCAGAAAAGTGAAAACAGTAAATAAAAATAAATTTATAAATTAAAAATACACCATCTGTGGTATAAACAGGGCACTCTGAAATGTTAGTTAAGATTTCCATAAATGTGACACATGATAAAAAGAGCAGTAGCACAAAGTAAAAGAAGAAAAAGACTGTTAAGGCTAATAAACTTTGCACTGCAAAGTGACACCTGACACTTCAAAGTGAAAGAATAGAGAGTTATTTATGTTTCCTATCTCTTTAACAGAAAACAAATGAATAGTCTTTTTTTTTCAATAATAAATTACTTGAAAATCTACCTATATAACCTACAGTGGAGCCAAGAGTGGGAGGAAGGTTTTGGCATAAGCTAGGTTTTATGTTTTTCTCTTTTTCCTAAATACTGTTTAAAAAAAGCTTCTCAGTTCTTCAGTGTCAAACTAATCTTCTTCCTTTTATCTTTAACTCCCTTCTATCTCCTCTTTGAGGAAGTAAATCCATTTAGTTCCCTCAGCATGAATGCAGACAAGCACCCTGGAAAATAAGTCCATCACACTCTTGCTTTCCATCTTTCTTCCCTGTTTTCTAGCACAGAAGCTAAATTTCAACAAATTGAAAATAATCCTCTCCAACAAGATTTTAATTGTAATAAAATGTGACTTCTGCATAAGAGTAAGATCACAAATGCACAATACAGTTGGATACTATATTCAGGGAAGTTAAATAGATGTTTGTAGGTGATGTTTGCAAAAAAAGATTGAAGTGGTTTGCAGCAGTTGGAGGCATTAGGTAGCAGTCACAGCACTGAGTCAAATTTAAATTTTACAAAACAAATAGCTAGTAAAGATACATCTATTGAAAAGTGAGAAGATACCGTTTTGGGATTAAAAATCAGTAATGTGATGGAGCATCATGCAGAGATATGAGTGTCTTGGCTATAAACCTCGTAAGCAGAAGTTCTTTGAAACCCTGGATGCTGAAAAGGACAGTGGAACTGATGGGGGAGGAGGAAAAGAAGCAGACTTGGCAAGCTGCATCCTGATGAGCCATTAGGCTTCAGAGTGAGGAAGCAAGAGAGTTGCAGCTGAAAGCTCTATCAACTTGCTGAATACTTTATCTCTTCAAAGGAAGCAGATTAAAAAAAAAAAAGGCAAACCAGTTATCTTTGGAGATCCACATCTGTGTAAACAGAGAGCCCTTACCTGCTGGTGAGCACAGCTTGGTGCGCTCCTCACAGGGCACTCAGGAGGTTGATCATGGAATTGTTTGGGTTGTGACTGTTTCATGACTGCCCATACTGGGCTCGGTGTTAATTTGGCCCCACAGGGTACAAGGGAATGTCAAGGTGGGGTACAAGGGGGTGTCACATTCCTGCTCCCATCAGTTTGTCCCCATGGGTACCTGTGAGTGAGCTGGGCTGAGTCTCACCTACTACACAGTTCTGCTGCCAGAGGGAAGGTGTTGGAGGCCCTGTCCCTGTGCACAATCAGACCTTCCTGTGACGCCCCTTCCGTCTTGCCAGTGGTCTCCCCTCTCTCCCTTCCTTCTGGGGCTGTTCTCTGACCTCTGAGGTGGTGTTCTAGACAAAGAAGAAAGGAAAAGAGGGGTAGCTCAACCAGTTCAGTCACTGCCTTGTAGCCTGCCAGCACACCTGAGGGGATGAGGTGAACGAGAGTCACATCTCTGAGCTGCTCTTTGAGTTGTGGCTCCTGTGAATGTACTCGTGTAGAAGTGTTAGGAGAATGATACAAAGCAGTATCTGAAATTTGCCCTGGGAAACCAGAGGGACACACTTTCCCACGTTCAGTTTTTGGAGGATGAGGTGTCTTCCACCACTCGAGCTGGTCATTGAGGTGCTGGGGTGAAGCTAGTGAAGGATCTGGAACATAATTCCTATGAGGAGTGGTTGAGGGTACTGGGGGTGTTTAGCCTGGAGAAAAGGAGGCTCTGGGGAGACCTTATAATTCTCTACAACTACCTGAAAGGAGGTTGTAGCAAGGTGGGGATTGGCCTCTTCTCCCAACCAACCAATGACAGGGCAAGGGGAAATGGCCTCAAGCTGCACCAAGGGAGGGTCAGTTGGAATTAGAAGTTTTGTCACTGTAAGAGTGGTCAAGCATTGGAACAGGGTACCCGGGGAGGTGGTGGAGTCACCATCCCTGGAGGTATTTAAAAGATGAGGAGATGTGTCACTTCATGATGTGGTTTAGTGGACACTATGGTATTTGTTCAAAGGTTGAACTTGATACTGGAGGTCTTTTTCCACCTCGTTGATTCTAGGATTCTGTGATCTCCAGCAGAGAACTGGTGTGGGTCACTGGAGGTCTGATGGGAGCAGTTAGTGCCGGTACTTTGAGACAAGATCATACTTTTGGGATGTATCTGTGTATTGCTCCACATAATGAAGCCTCCAGATATGCCTTGAGCCCCTGATACCACCAAAGGGAAAGAAGGGGAATAGGTGACACGGGGCAACACTGTTCCCCTGGCAGCTGACCCTCAGAGCTGTATTTCTGAGCCTGAATGTACTGAGCAGTTAATTGTGCAGTAACTGTCCTTGCACTTTCTGTTACAGTAACTTTTATGGGCTATTTTGAGTCTGTGGAATCCCTGCAGTTGGATGCTAAAAGGCAGCTTTTGCTTTGAGACATAAATATGTGCTTGGCAAAAGTGATATGCAAAGCTGTGACAATGTACTGAGAGTACATGGAAAACAGGGGAGTTGATGTTGTCCTAGAGCTGAGGCCTTACATTTTAATAGTGAGACTGATTTAACTGGCAAAAAATTTACTGAGAAATGAGACAGAATATCCATTCCTTAATGTCCCCAAATCAAAATGGGCATACTTCAGAAGATATAAGGTAGCTGAAATAGATATTATGGGCTCACTTCAGGAATAAATTGGTGAAAACCTATGGTTGTCAATATGCAGGAGGTCAGACTGGATGATGATAATGGTCTGTTTCAGTTCCTACAAATTGGTGAATCTCATAATTTCAGTAGAAATGCTGGCTCTGACTGTCATTTGCACTGTGACCTCTTCATATCCATCTGGAAATATTAAACAGACTTAAAGTAGATGCAAGATCTACTGACTTGGTCTACTTTCTTCGCTAGTAGGACAGGAAAAAGAGGTTCTGTGTAATTAGGATTGAAAACTTTATTCCAAAACTTCCTTGCAAGTTTTTGGGGATGGGAGGAGAGAGTCCATCTGTAGTCCAGATCCTTTTTTATCAGATTTTATATTCTTAGGTCCCACATTGAAAATAATATATTCTCTCCTGAATGTAAAATAAAAGTCACTTATATCTTTTTTTTTCATTGTTTTTATTCAGAGACAATGTTTTTGACCTAAAGATGGAGCAGATTTTCATTTTTTGTGGCCTTTTTTTCACCTTGAATCTTTTCCTGTATTCTTTAAAATATTCATACTTGCATTGAGAAGCCAAATTTTTCAAGGTGATCCTAGGTGAATAGGATTAAACAACTCAGGTCAAACTA